CCACAATTCCTCCTACTTGATGTCTTTCTGGTGGGTGATTTTACGACATTGGAAGCAAAAACTAACCCCTTTTCCCTGCTGGTGGTGACCCCATTAACAAACATTCCTGACACAGGCCAATGCGTAAATTCTAAAGTCTTTTGAATAGAATCTACAGAAGAAACGAAATGGGAGCCAGATCTATGTAAACGCTGATCTACGTTCTTCATTTTTTTAAACTAGGAGGACACACTTTAGGGGGCTCTCGTGGCCTAGAGGTTAAGGTGTTCGCCTCTCTTTCAATAGGTCACGGGTTCAAATCCGGATAATGACAGAAAAGTTTCTTCTTTCACATTCTTTCCTGCTCTCTACCAATGATCTGTCGTCTGCTTTCTTCTCCACTTTCTGCCCCCCACCCCCCTTTCCCCCCTCCTCTGGGCTCCTGATTCTTTCTGCAGCCTTTCTACTGCTTCTCCTTGGCCTCTTCTTGTTGCTGTCTTTCAGCTACACCCGTAATCTTACGGTAGGTAAGATCTACACGTCCTAGCCATCTCGGACAAGGGCGAAAAATCTCAGGGGTCCTGTTTGCAATTTGCGCAAGTTAAAGATCCCTTGGGCGTTCCAAAATCGATAAAAGAAGGCTTCGGCCGCCACCTGGGTAAAATTCAAAATTTGAAAATGTTTGATGTGTCCCGGGCGCTCATATGACCTTATGCAGCTGCGAGCGCCGTAAAACACTTACCGCCTTGAAGACGCGCTGTTTTGTCGTTGTTTACGCAGATCATTAAAAAAAAGTTGTTTTCTTTACCTAAAACACGTTTTTTTCTCTTTAACTTTAAGGCACGAAGTAACGCGTATGCCACGAAATATGCAAATTTGTGTTTCTGACGTTGTGTTTGACGACCCTGACAGTTTGATACAGGTCGGACATGATATGTGTCACGACACGGTGAAATCAGGCTCTCGTCAGTTGTTGTTTTATTTTGGCATTTGAATTTGTTGATAGAATCTTAAAGCTTGTTCATTTGTCTTGCGTTTGGTGAATAAAATACCCATTTGTCTTGAATGGAAGTTGAACATTTGCCATTGACGGAAGTGGGGTTCGCCTGTAAGTTGTTAGAGGAAAAATTAGCGAAAAATGGTCGCGAAATTTGGTGACTTCCAACTCTTGAGAGTCTTGGGGAAAATGCAAGTTTACTCTTGTGTAGATTTTGTGCAAAGTTTGTAAGTAAAAATCAACTCGAAAATGTGTTTAAAAGGTACTGAGTCCC